TGACCTCATCGTTCATGCGCCGCCCGTAGCATTCCCGTCAGCCACACCACCATCTGGCCAACGACCTGTTATTCGACCTCCATGCTGGAATCCTCTTCCAGTCTAGACTGACGCCATACTCAATCCTTCCCCCGAGACAAGACTTGCACCGCCAGGATTCCAACCACCAACCTCTCCCAGCGAACCCCCCGATCTGGTGTCGACTTCCTCAAATCAATCCACCATCAGCTGTATAGCAACCACATCGCCTTGCATGGCGTCTTCAGAGCAGGAAGCGACGCATACCCGACCGACCATGTCGCCTCAACGCCCCAACTTCATCGACCTTCGGGCGCCATCCAGTATGTCGAACGTATCGAGACCGCTGCGATCCCCGAGACTTCACGTTGCAGGTGAGGCGCCTCCCGAATTGTCGCCTCTCGATGCCTTCGCCCTCCAGAGTCGCCTTTTGGCGAGGCAGCTCCAAGCTGCGGCCAACGGCGACGGACGACGAATGAGCCGACTCCCGCCTTTGACGACCGAGAGCCCTCTGGTTGTCCAAGGCCGATCTGACTACTTCCGCTCCATGTCCAACGACTCTGGCTCCGATGAAGTGGCGCTTCCCGAGCTTCAGAACCCTGGGTTTGGCATGAGAACCGAGATGGAGGACGCTTTTCCCTCAGAGAAGGACCGCCCGAGATCAGTACATCCACGAATGAGCCGGATCCCGCCTACTCCCGACGAGAACGTTCCCCTTCCTCCCCAGCCTCAGCTTGACACGATGCGTGGACGTCCTATGGAATCTGTGGGGGAAGATCACGATGAGACAACCTTCGGCGCCAGAAGAGAACAGTCACCAGCGCCCATGGAGCATCCGATCAGCGACTCCCTCCTTCATGCCTCACCACCAGCAGTACCTATGCGTTCTCCCGCACGCTCCCGCGATAACTCACTTGGGACATCTCCTGAGAAGTCAAAGGCTCATTCTTTCGATGGTCCCGGTTTGGCCCCCCCGAGACCCAACTTCATTGCGCGATCATCCAGCTCCATGTCCTCGCCTCTCGACAACGCTACCGACGACACCTCAATGAGTAACTCCATTCAGTCTCTTCCTCCACGCAAGCTGTCGAGTGGCAGCGCTTTCGCATCGGCCGCGTCTCCGAACCTTAACCCTGGACCTTTCCAGCGTTCCCCGTCCGTCAGCTCGGAAGCTTCTATGCCACTACCGCGACCTTCTTTCAACTTCTCAAGGCCGATGAGTCGCGCAGGCACTCCTGGACTGGAAACACCAACGCGCCAAGCCTCATCAGACAGCCAGCCATCCTTTGTATTTGCAAATGACGATTCAGCCAACACTCCTGTCAGCATGAACAGTGAAGGTTTCCCGGATCCCATGCATGACGACGGAAAGGCGGCGCCCTCATACATCTATTCTAAGTATTCACTTCCTAGAGGCAAGATGATTCAACGGTCGGTTCCTCTCGATCCTCACCCACAGGCCTCTTTCCAGTGGGAACAGCCCATGACTCAGCCCAGCAACGTCTCAACGATCGCTCATGGAGCGCCTCCCTCACCTCCGACACGGCCGTCCAGCTCTGCGGAGGCAGGTGCTCCTGGCGATCTCAACTTGACGAAGAATGGCATGAACCGTGGTGGCCCTGCGCCGCAGCCATCTCCCAACCCGAGCCGCCCATCTACCGAGAGCCGACCATCAGAAGATGATCCGAGAGGCCGCGCTCTCACATCCCATGTCCACGATGCTGCCCGTGGTCAGACTGCCATGTCTATGGCAACCACCGACTCCAGCAGTACTATTAAGGGCGCTCGATCTCTGGCTTCGGGTGCACCTACCACTTCGGAAATGACAGCCGAAGAGCACCTGGCGAAGGGTATCGAGTGCCACGAAAATGGCTCCGTCAAGGAATCTACCTACCACCTTCGCCATGCTGCCAAGGGCGGAAACGCTACAGGCATGCTTCTATATGCGCTGGCTTGCCGCCACGGCTGGGGCATGCGGCCCAACCAGCGTGAGGGTGTTGAGTGGTTGAGAAAAGCAGCTGAGGGTGCCAGTGTTGAAATTGCTGATGATGAAGACCACGTCAAGGAGGGCAAGTTTGTGGATGCCACAGAGAGGAGGACGCGCAAGGCACAATTCGCACTCAGCATCTATGAGCTGGGCGTGAGCCACATGAATGGATGGGGTATTGAGCAGGATAAGGCTCTTGCCCTGCGTTGCTTTGAGATCGCTGGATGTAAGTTGTCAAAGGATTCCATCTCTAAGACCTCTCACTGACAGAAAACTAGCCTGGGGTGATGTTGATGCATTGGCTGAGGCAGGATTCTGCTACGCCCAAGGCATCGGATGCAAGAAGAACCTTAAGAAGGCCGCCGGTTTCTACAGACAAGCTGAAGCCAAGGGAATGAACATGGTCGGCAACAGCTGGTACGTATTGCCTCACTATGAAAGCACCCAGGAAACCGCAATCCTGACATGAAATCTCGCAGGATCCACAAGTCAAAGTACAATGACGATGACAGCAACGGAAAGAAGTCCCGCAGCAAGTCCAGGACGCGCACCATGTTTGGCATCAAGACTGGCTAGCTACGAGTCTTTTAGGAGTTCTTTCTGCGCGCGCATGGCTTCTGGCGGCATTTCACGGATCATGACCACTGCATCACCACATCACCTTCATACCCCGCATCTTCGGAGTTTTGGGAAGCTGGCTCTACGGAGTGCAGCTGTTTTTTCTGGGCATTTCAAATTCATGGATGGGAATTGTGCCATTTTCTGCATTCAGCAAGGTACGCTACACGGGAGCAGGGGGAGGACGAGGTTGTCCTAATACCCATGCAACAATGGACCAGCCCTCTGCTCCGTGTCACGGGAGGTGGAAAAAGTGAGGGATCGTTTAGCGTGTACAGACCTTGATTGAACATACCCTTGGTTCCTATGTATATACCACATTTGCTTTGAGGGGAGGGCCATAAAATCCTCCTCAAGAAGTTTTCTTTTGTTTCACAGAAAGGGCTTTGCCTGCATAATGGCAGTCGCAAGGCGAATGGGAAAAAGCCTTTGACAACTGATTCCTGGGTCTACACCTCGGTACCACATGCCCCGATACTGATGACTTGGTGATTGCTGGCATCAGACTGCTTACTACAATTTTTGGTTGCTACAGTGCCAATTACTCAGTCAACTTGATCACTTAACAACATGCGTTTTTGGCTTGTCAGTATCAATGTCTTCTATTGCCATTGTCCATTGTGTTGGTACATCAACTCCTCGTCTAGGGAGCATTTTCATTAGCCAGCCTCTTGCAAGCCCGTATCCTCATAAACCCGTCAGCCCGCTCATGCATCAACCTCCATCGCCTCGCCAGCCGGCACCTCCGTTACGCTCACGTAACGACCAATCTCGTTCTTCTTGATAGTCTTCTCGTTGAGGACGGCGGTCGTGCCCTGCTTGAAGGCGTAGCTCTTGAGCTTGGCGGTACGCTCGTTGGGCTTGACGAAGCCGCGCTTGAGCGTGGTCTTGTCCTTTGTGATGACGGCAACGTCGACGTTGCTTCCGGAACCCAGATCGTTGAAGATACCGGCCTGAATGGCATCGCTGGCGAGCTTAACAGCCTCCTCCTCGTTCAGCTGGGGCTTCCACTGGGTCTCAAAGACGGACATGGCGGCGAGGGAGCCGGAGCCCATGGTGACGTAGGGGAGCTTGTCGGTGGAGCCGTGGGCATGGACGGTGAACAGGTGGGTTCCCGTGGGATCAACGCCGGCGACGACGAGGTAGGCACCGATGTGGCCCTGGTACTGGAAGAGGTGCTGCTTGAGCATGGTCATGCAGGTGACGACGCGGGGCTTGCGGCCTGTCGAGAGGGCGTGGAGCTCGAGGTTGGAGGAGATGATTGCGGTGGTGAACTCGGTATCAGCAGCGGTTCCGGCACCCGCGCACCAGATCTGGGGGGCGATGTAATGCAACTTTTCACAGTTCTTGTCCGCTACGATGGGACCCGACGTCGCTCTTGTATCAGCCGCAATCTGAATGGATAGTTAGTACGAGTGGTGGTACGAAAGGGCGGTACGCGGGGGCGAGTCCAATGATAGGATCCATGCTACTAGCTGATGGAGGGGAATCTGGTGTTTGGGAATACTAACCACTACTCCGCCGTCGAATATGCATCCCACGATAGTGGTACCTGTGCTAGTCGCCTTGGGAAGGGGGACACCTCGGGCGTGGAGGGCCGCATTGCGGTTGTAGTTGGAGAAGTCGAAGCCAGGCATGGTTGCTGACTTGGCTGGCTAGACCCGGACGCTGTGATTGTTCTTTCTCGGTCGTCGGATTCGTGGGAGACTTCGTGATCGTTCGGTCGTGGTGGATGATATGAGGTTGGCAGAGGTTCCGCTGGACGTGGGGATGTTGAGGGACGTGGTGAAGGCAGGAGCTGATGACGAGGCTAAAAGCTGCCTTCAATGGTGTCGCCCGCTGTTTGGGGAGAGCTCATGCAGCGGGAGGCACCCTGACACCGACAGATGCCAGTGCTGATTGGCCAGGGACGCCCCGTGAAGCTGCCTAAGCTTCACGTGATCTCCCTAGTCAATGCGACCGGGGTGACGGACGGGCCCAGCAGCAAGCAGGAGCTCCATACGAATTTTTGGGAGCAGCAGCAGTCTGTCCCGTCGCCAGAGACCAGGCAATCAGACGGTGCAACATCTAGAAGGCATCACCCTTCTGCCTTAAGGCCAATTCTTTCGCGTTTTAACGTGTGAAACTAAACCAGTCTCCCTTTTATCGGCATTTGGCGCTCAGCAGTCTTTTCTAGAGTCGACAACGTCCCTGCGCAATACTCACTGGTTGCGACTGTAGCAACCGCACCCAGCTGCTTGCGACGAACGGGAAAAAGAAAAAAAAGAAAAAACTTCCCGTATATCAGCAACGCGGCCCCTCCAACGAATGCAAAGAACCACCCCCAGCTGACCCAACAAGTCCCTCCTCCAACAAGCCGGTTGTTCAGCTTTCCATCATGGCTTTCGGCTTCTCGAACCAAGGAAACGCCATGCTTGGAAGCACGGCTGGAGGCGGAGGACTGAATCAAGGCCCCGAGCTGGAGGTGATCCAGACCGAGGTGAGATCTGGTCACCGACACCGTCGATGCCGTTGTCTATCACACGTTCAAAGCTCACCAACTAAAACTATTGTCCAGGCGCTTGGTTTCAAATCGATTGCCGGAGACGCGAAGCTCCGGCTGACGTCCGCATGGTCCCCTGCACCCGCCGACACGGCCTCCCTCCTCAGCATCGCTCCCCGCCGGGGACTCGTCGCCGCCGCCGGCCCCGATGGTATCACGATCGCCTCGACCGAATCTGTGCGCAAGGGTTTCGAAGCCGATTCTAAGGAGAGCGACAGCTCCGATGTCCGCGCCTTCCAGCCCCAGGTGAAGCTGCCCATGCCCATGAGGGTTTCGCAGCTCGCTTTCAGCGCCGACGAGAACTTCCTGATTCTTTCTGCCGAAAGTGGTGGCGGTCTGGCCGTCTATGAGACACAGAGCCTGCTGAACGGCGGTACTCAGGCGGCCTTCGAGCTTGCGACGAACGGGGAGACACTGAGGGCGCTAGTACCGAACCCTACAGTCGAGAAGGCAGAATTGGTTGCCATTGTGACGAATAACGGGAACCTGCACATGGCAAACTTGAAGGAGAGGAATATCAGCAATGCTCTCAAGGCGCAGGTCAGCTGCTTAAGCTGGAGTACCAAAGGAAAGCAGCTTGTCGCAGGCTTGGCAGATGGTACTATCTTTCAAATGACCCCCGAGGGCGAGGAAAAGGGGCAGATCCCACGACCGCCCAGCGTAGAAAACGCTCACGGTAGGTTTTTGTGATGCGAATTCTGTTGGGAACGCGAACTGATTATCTCCATTCAGTGTCTTCTCTGAGTTGGCTGGAAAATCACCTCTTCCTGGCCATCCATACCTCAACAAAAGAATCTCCTCCGACATCAGTATACCACATAATCACCAGAAAGCTCCCGTCAGACTTCACATTTCAGAAGCTCACAGACCCCGTCGACCCCTTTGGCGCAGAGAACACTCCTCATCACTCAATATTACGACTGAAAGACTTCCCTCCTAACCTTACGGATCTATTGATTGTCGCGTCCACAGCATCCCCTGACATCGGCCTTCTCAGCAGATCGAAGACGCCGCTGTCTCCGGATAAGCCAGCAGACACTATCTCCAATGTTTTCACAACAACAGAGCTTCTCGACGACTCTAAGCGTGCGTCTCTCCCTATGACGGAAGACTTCCAGAACACAGTCCCGATTGGCGTTGCCCTCGACCTGTCGAGCAAAGAGAAGGTCTACAAGCCTCTGCCTGCGGACGAGGAGCTCGAGGACTCACCGGGGCCTCTGCCGGGCTTCTGGGTCTTGAACCATGAGGGTGTTTTGAGCTCATGGTGGATCGTGTACGAGGACTCCATCAGAGGAGGCACAACTTACCCTGGCATGGCTGTGCTTGACACGTCTGCTCCAGCGCCTGCTCCTACACCCTCGGCGCCTGCAGCAGCTGCGTCACCTTTCGGCGCACCCTCTCAGCCATCAGCGTTCGGCTCTTCTGCGAGCTCGACGCCAGCATTCGGTGCCCCCTCTGCTTTGGGCGGTGGCCAAAAGCCGGCAAACCCTTTCGGCAGCGGCGGATCCACCCCTGCGTTTGGCGGCAGCTCTGCGCTAGGAGCCAAGAGCTCACCATGGGGCACATCAAATGCCTTGGGATCTGCAACCGGCACCTCGTCAACAGTATCAACGTTTGGAAGCACCGCGTTTGGTGGCAACACATCTGCTGCTTCGCCTTTCGGCCAAACTTCCACTCCGAAGTCGACGTTCGGGAGCGGCGGTGCATTCGGCAGTGGCAGCGCCTTGGGCAGCACTCCTGCTGCCGCTACCTCTAGCCCAGCTTTCGGTCAGCCTTCATCTTTTGGGCAGTCCTCGGCCCTTGGTGGAAATAAGTCTCCCTGGGCAGCTGCAGGTTCAGGCTCAGCCACTGCAGGGTCGACATTCGGACAGCCAAGCACCTTCGGCTCTGGAAACAAGAGTGTGTTTGGTAGCGGCTCGATACCGACAACCGCGGCTACTCCTTCACCAGGGGGTGGTTTCGCAGGGTTTGCATCGTCTGGCGGCTTTGGTTCGCTTGGAAACAAGAACGCCAACGAAGGCGGTAGCGTGTTTGGAAGCAAACCCTCCTCAAGCCCTTTTGCTTCGGGCCAGTCGCCTTTCTCATCCACCAAAGATACTGCGTTTCCACCACCCAGCCAGAAGCCCAGCAGTGGGGCTGGAGTCAATCCTTTCGCCGGTCAGCCCTTCAAGTTGGAAAGCAGTTTCAAGCCTGATCCTTCTGCAAAGGACGATGACGATGACGAAAAGCCTGCTACCAGTGGCGGATCCTCGTTCTTCGGCGGCGGCTTCAGCTCGGCCCTTGGAGATGCTAAGACGCAGACAACACCTACTAAGGAGCAGAGCATGGACACAACGGAAGAGACACCCAAGCCCAAATCAGTTTTCGATTTGCCCTCCACGACACCCAAGGAGACACCTGCTCCTAACAAGGGACTGTTCGGACTCGGGACTGCGCCGCAAAATGGCCGAAGTCTGTTTTCCAAGCCCTCGCCAAAGTCCTCGTCGTCAGGCTTCAAGCTGGAGCCCCAGAGTAAGACTCCCACGGATGCTCCCTTGCCACCCGACTCAACGAGCAGGGTTGAGTATCCTCTGGGAGAGTCGTCTTCGTCCTCAGGCGGGGCAAGTAAGGCTTCCCCGAAGGCAGGCGATGCTCCTCTTCCCCCTGACTTTCTCACGACGCCAAAAGCATCTCAGACGAAGGCTGTCGATGACCCGCTTCCTCCCGATTTCCTTAAGCCTAAGCAATCGACGAAGTCATCAGATGCCGCACCATTGCCCCCTGACTTCATCACCCCCAAACCTAGTAAGGCTGTGCCATCGACTACACCTCCGACAGCACTGCCATTACCCGCGGAGGAGAAGCCGAAGCAGACGGCGCCAGCGGCTGCCCCCGACTTCCTCAAGATGCCCAAGCAGTCTCTCACACAAGCAACCTGGTCATCCACGCCCGTCAGTGAGACGCCCGCTAAGGAGCCAGAAGACGCTCCCCTGCCACCCGATTTTATCACCAAACCCAAGACGAACGACCTCCCGGCCATCCCAACTGTCCCGGATAGCGACCACGACAGCGATCTGGAGGAGGACGAAGAAGGTTCCGAGGGTAGTGGAGTCGACGTCGCAAAGGATCTTAGCCCGTCCATTGTGGCCATGACTCCCAATGCAGGTCTGACTCCTCAAAGCTCTTTCGGTGGTGTTAGCAGTAGCACTTACTCAATTCCGCGCACAGAGGAAGAGAGACCACGACATTCGCTATTCGGCAACAATGTGCCCACACTCCCTCGTCCTTCGCAAACGAGCCCACGATCTCCCAGCCCTGTCAGGGCCGCTATTCCGGGACGCCTGCGTCAAGAGTCAGCTCGCTCGGTTAGTGCCCCTGGCATGGCTTCTCAAATTCTCGGCGCCCAGAGAAAGCAGCCTTCCCAGATGGGCATGTCCATAGTCGGTTCTAAGCCCACAATGGAGGACCCGTTCGTTGCGCAGCAGAGGTTGGCGCGCCAGAGGAGACAAGCTGAGGAGACGCGAACTTTGGAGGACGAGGAGGACGATGAGATTCAGAAGATTCTTGCATCCAAGATCGAGCCCAGTCTCAAGCTGGACGACTTCATCGCGCACTCCAACGTGGTGCCGTCAGCAAAGGAAACCATCCCCGCGCAAGTCGAAGCCGTCTATCGTGACATCAACTCCATGATTGACACTCTTGGTCTGAACGCTCGATCGTTGGCAAGCTTCATCGTAGGACACGATGTTGGCTTCAAGCAGGGTGGTCGTCGCAAGGAAGACCTTGAAAACCCCGAAGACTGGGTCTTGTCTGAGATCGACGAGCTCGGCGAGGTCATCGACAGATCTCTCGCCCGGGACCTAGAATATGGCCGTGTTCAAGATGTAGAAGAGAAGCTGGAGGCTTGCAACGAACTTGCGCGTGAGATGTCCCGCCTGCGGTCGAAGCAGGACGACCTCAAGAAGATTATGATGGTCAGACTCGATCCCGACCAGGCCGACATCAGTCGCTCCTTACCTTTGAGCGCCGAACAAGCTGCTCAGCAGAACGAGTTGCGTCGTGAGTACGCCAACTTCTCCAAACTCCTCGCCGAGGTGGAGGAAGCCTTGACGCTTCTTAAGACCAAGCTCGCATCAGTAAGCAGTGCGTCTGGCAAGGGCAACTCCAATGTCCCCACTGTCGAGGCCGTTATGCGCACCATCAACAAGATGACCAGCATGGTCGAGAAGCGATCTGGCGACATTGACGTTCTCGAGAACCAGATGCGGAAGCTGCGCTTCTCGTCGGTTAACAGCCGCGAGGGCTCTCCGATGGCCACCCCTCAGAGGAACAGCAGGTCGCTCATTTTCTCCCCCGAGCGTATGGCCACGGCGTCACCTGGCACTCTCCGCAACTCCCTCGTATCCTCGGTCGCTTCGTACGGCGTTCGTGGCACGCCTCCCCGCAAGAAGCTGTCTGGCCTCAGCCAAGATGAGAAGTCAGAACTGATGGCGAAACGGGCCAAGAGACAGGCCGTCTTGAACAAGCTCAAGGCAAATGTCGAGAGGGCCGGCGTGAGTGTGTGGACCCTAGAGGATGCGGAGTAGAGCATTGTTAGACATACCTAGATTGGGGAGAACAACACTCGGCGCGTATGGGACTAATGAAGCAATGGCATGTGGGAATGGAGAGCGTAGATAGTGTATATCATAATGTACAATGGAACCAGCAGTACATGCAGCCCGATCTAGCCTTGTCAAGTGGTACGTTAGACTCTCACCGGCCAGTGTGAGCCTAAGAACGGAAGTATCGTGTATCCTTATGCAGTCGCCACATAGCTGCTTATGTGTCTTGTGAATGGTTGCCTCCACGGTTTATGTCGTGCTACTACCCGGGTTTGAGGTGTAAACCTTTTCTGAGCTAATGAAACGATGCAATTGTGAGATCGCGGTCAGTCACGCACGTAGAATCTCAGTTGAACAGTAGAAGACGAGGCGAATCAACGTGGGACGTGAAACATTTGGAGGAACCGTCTAGCCAGACAGCAATAGTCATGACAATGTGCAGCCATGGCACAATACTTCCCATCTCGATACTTATAGTCCAATTTTTTTGCGTTGACAGAATCTCTAACCATAAGCTTGTCTCCCCAAACCGTACGATCAACCAAAAATCCCATGGCACATTCTTTCCTCGTAGCACGCAGACATCAGTATTCCCCTATCATCATGGCCGGGCGACGATGAGAGCAGCACAAGCCGAGCTCGGTCATTCCCGTACTTACAACCGTCGGCAAAACGGCTATGATGGTGTCTCTCACGGCGTGTCTCAGTCAGTTGAAGTGAACGCATATGCACCTACGTCCGCGGCCTCTGAACCATCTCCAGGTTTTTGACGACGCCCCCTGAGGATCTGCGGCCATGGCGTGGAAGTTGCCTTTCAGTCTTTCCTCGGTTGGTGTCCGGCCCCGGTTACTATAGTTGCACTTGACATCGAGCCCAGCGCCCAGAACATACTCGACTTTCCTAGCTTAGAATGGAATGTGACAGAGGACATCATCGCAGAAATTTCTAAAGCAGACATTTACGTCTCCAAGGGATTTTCACAACGTCCTAGAGCTACTTGTGAGATCTCCCCAGTCACCCATCAATCCGTTTTACTCACGTCTCTAACTTCATCGGAAGATCACGAATGACTACCAAACTCCGAGCTGCGTAAGTTCCAGGAAGTCTTTCGGGAACAGTCTTTCGGTATCAGTCTCTGAGCCGAATTACAAATGCCCCGGAACCGCCAAGCGTTGCTCATGGACAAATTTCACCAGTCTGGGTGTCTGTAGCAACTTCCGCAAAGTAACAGCCCAAACAACCCGTTGTTGTTCTATGAAGATCAACAGAAAATACATCCAAATTTTCACTTACGGTACGCCATGTACCATGTGTGGGAAATTGATGACATCCCGCCGTCTCCAGATATATTTCTCGTCAACTATGACTGGCGTATCAAAAAGTTCGCCAACTCGAGCGCGACGTCGGGCAACCCCGACCCCAGAACACACGAGACAGAGATTCTGGAGTTCAAAACCTTTTATAGAGCTCGTTCGGGAATCGAATTCGCTCAATTTCGAACGCAAGACAATAAAGCGCGGATTGAAATTTCGTACATGGCGGTCATGTGGCTACCGGATCATTTGAAAGTTCTTCTTAACGGGAAGCTCTTTGAACAGATCTCGGGGCTCCACCAATCGGGAGAATCTGGACAAAGGCATGAATCTAGAGCTCTTGGTTTTCGACACAGAAGATACGGAAAATCTTGCGAACACAATTACTAATCAAATTCGAAGCGGCAATCCTGGGGATAACAACAATGCAACCATGATTTGATGCGAGGTTTTTAAGACGGAGACATTTGGGGTTGTGCGGTGGCAGTGGTTCATTCTTCCCATCCTCGAGACACTGGTTGCCGCCGTGCTGTTGGTCGTCAGTATCATCACGACAACTAAAGTACCCCTGTTGAAAACGTCGACGGCTTTCTTAGCATATCCCCTCTCAGGTTGGAGCGACGACGAGGTGGCCTTCAAGGATCCGCAGAGTGCTTAAAAGCTCGATAAGTTGGCAAAGGCCTTAAATGGAAGACTCGGGCGGAAAGAGGGCTGGTGGAGGTTCACCAAAGATTGAAGTTGGACAGTCACTTGGCTGCCGTACTCGAGTGGACAGAGTGACGAGGGGCGACGTACCTCCTCCTTGGCCTCACCCTCCCAGCTGGTCTTGCTGGTCCAAAAGGAGGCAGATGTTCGTATTCGAATCCATTTCACTATCGTCGCTATTTCAACCTTCTTCGCAGCATGGGAATGCTGTCGTCATGTCCGTGATGTTGCGATAGCAGTATTGGAGAATGCGTGTTTAAGTGGATGCATAAGGAATGAGCGCGGACTGGCCCACTTAAATTTTGGGGGGCAAGGGTGTTAATTGCTCACCTACAGTGCCCAAGCACGAGACTGCGCGCCCTGTTCTCCAGCGCAGCGCGAGGACCCCGCGACTTGGGCGCGTCATCCACTTTTTGATTCCATTGACCTCAAGATTCTCAGGATTCAACACCAAACCCTTGGCAGTTGCCAGTCCCCAACGTCGTCGCTCCTCTAAGAGCAGGTCAAGCAATCTCGACTGAGCACATGAAAACGCCTTGAAGAGCATTCGAGCAGCAAACCTACTTCCCAACCAAAGTGGCAAGATGGGTCCACCGTCGTCGGCAGCTCGAAAGCGGCCTACCGCCACTCCGAAGAAGAGCTTCACCAAGGTTCCACCTTCGAAAAAGCCTGCGAGGCCAAATGCCAGCATTCTCAGCTTCTTTCAAAAGGCCGAAAAGCCGGAGCAGACCCTTTTCCTGGATGGTCAAGAGAAGCTAGTGGTCCAAGCCGCCGACGACGACGACGAGCCAAACATCTACGACGCCGAGCCATGGGAGGAGGAGAGATTCAACGAGGTAGAGTCCTCGGTCAAGAAGAGAAGGTTGAGTCAAGAAGAAAACCAAAAAGAGATAGAGCGATCGAGTCCGAAAGTATCCAAGAGTCCCGTCGCCTCCGAACCCGCACTATCGTCACCTACAGAGGCAAAGCCAACCAAGAAGGCACCAGGCAAGCGCAAGGGCCCCTTTTTGGACGAATCTGACAGCGAAGAGGGGGAGGATGCAGACGATACTTCCAAGAAGCCCCTTTTTCTCAGCGCAATCCGTAACACGGCGCCCATTGCGGCCCCCATCAAAATGGAAGAGGAGGATGCGACGCCACCCGCGAAGGAGACGAGCTGCCCCCCGCCGCCACTGAAGGTTGAAGACTCGATCGACAATGAATTTGCAAATGTTGACGAGTTTGGTGACCTAGACGACTTCCCCGACGACGAAGACTTTGGAGGCGAAGAATATCGAATGATGCAGTTTATGCAGGAGCAAGCCAGGCTGGAAGCCGAAGCAGAGGCTGCAGAAGATGGCGACCATTCTGGTGATGACATTCCCGACCCTGTTCGATCAAGCGACGCCATGGTGGCCAACTGCCCAATATGCGACGGGAGTCTTGCAGGAATTACGCCCCAGGAGGCAACACGACACGTCAACGCCTGTCTCGACGGCAATCCGATACCCATCCCTCAGTCTAAGCCAGCCAAGAAAGACCAAGTAGCGAAACCTCCGATTCTCGATCCACCAGAAGTTAACAAGCGCTTTGCCCGCGCGGCCGTTCCACGAGCTGGCCAAGCCAATCCCTTCAACATTGGGGAGACTGACAACAAGCCCAAGTCCGCATTCACAAAGTTGATGTCGGGCCATGCGGAAGATGCGGCGTGGGCAGGAGCTGCTGCCGCAGAGCACTCTGCGCGCGGCAAACCCGCATATCAACGCACCTGTCCATTCTATAAAATCATGCCCGGATTCTACATTTGTGTGGATGCCTTCAGGTATGGTGCGGTCAAGGGATGCAACGCCTACTTCCTGAGCCACTTCCATAGCGACCACTACATTGGCTTGACCGCCAATTGGACCCATGGACCCATCTACTGCAGCAAAGTTACCGGGGACCTCGTGAAGATGCAGTTGCGAGTCGCTGCGCACTGGGTTCGGCCCCTTGAATTCAACGAGACGGTTGATGTTCCTGGCACTGAAGGTGTCACGGTCACTATGATTTCCGCAAATCATTGTCCTGGAAGCTCCCTATTTCTGTTCGAAAAGACAATGGGGAAGGGACCGTCCGCGAGCAAGCAGAGAATTCTGCATTGTGGCGACTTCAGAGCTTGTCCAGCTCAAGTTGCGCATCCCTTGCTAAAGCCAGAGGTGCAAGACTCGGTATCGGGAAAGACTAGGCAGCAAAAGATCGACGTGTGCTATCTCGATACGACCTATCTCAACCCGCGCTACTCTTTCCCTCCCCAGAACGACGTGATTCGGGCATGTGCGGAACTCTGCACATCGCTAGCTCCTGAGCAGAATTCTGAGGACAATGCTTGGGACAGGGTCAATAGGGAGGCAGGCACCGACACAGTCAGCAAGTTCTTCAGCAAAACCAAGACAGATGGCGAAACGGCCAAAGCCAAGCCGAAGAATGCCCCCAAAGAACGCCTGCTCGTCATCTGTGGCACGTACTCGATCGGCAAGGAGCGCATCTGCAAGGCCATTGCCCAAGCCCTAGGCAGCAAGATATTTGCCTCCAAGTCTAAAATACGCATCTGTTCCAAGCTTGGAGACCCAGAGCTTACGGCACTGATGACAGACAACCCCCTGGAAGCGCAAGTCCATATGCAAATGCTCATGGAGATCCGAGCCGAGACGTTGCAGGACTACCTCAACTCCTACAAACCACACTTTAGTCGAATTGTTGGATTCCGCCCTTCTGGATGGAACTATCGACCACAGGGGGCAGGCAAATCGGTCTCGGCCAACACGCAGCCTGGTACCATTCCTACAACGCAGATTTTACAGGGTAAAGCGTGGAGGTCACGCTTTGGTGCCAAGGACTTTGTTGCTCAGCGTGGCAGCACGAAGGAGGCCATGTGCTTTGGGGTGCCATATAGTGAGCATAGCAGCTTCAGAGAGCTGGCAATGTTTCTGATGGCACTACGGATCG